TGATGGTTTGAATTTCTGTGGAATCTGTGGTGATTTCCCCTTTATCATTTTTTATTGCATCTATTTGGTTGTTCTCTCTTTTCTTTTTAATCAATCTGGCTAGTGGTCTGTCTATTTTGTTGATCTTTTCAAAAAACCAGCTCTTGGATTTATTGATTTTTTGGAGGGTTTTTCGTGTCTCTATCTCTAGTTCAGCTCTGATCTTAGTTATTTCTTCTCTTCTGCTGGGTTTTGAGTTTTTTTGATCTTGCTCCTCTAGCTCTTTCAATTTTGATGATAGGGTGTCAATTTTGGATCTCTCCATTCTTCTCATATGGGCACTTATTGCTATATACTTTCCTCTAGAGACTGCTTTAAATGTGTCCCAGAGATTCTGGCATGTTGTGTCTTCGTTCTCATCGGTTTCGAAGAACTTCTTTATTTCTGCCTTCATTTCGTTGTTTATCCAGTCAACATTCAAGAGCCAGTTGTTCAGTTTCCATGAAGCTGTGCGGTTCTGGGTTGGTTTCTGAATTCTGAGTTCTAACTTGATTGCACTATGGTCTGAGAGACTGTTTGTTATGATTTCAGTTGTTTTGCATTTGCTGAGCAGTGCTTTGCTTCCAATTATGTGGTCAATTTTAGAGTAGGTATGATGTGGTGCTGAGAAGAATGTATATTCTGTGGATTTGGGGTGGAGAGTTCTGTAAATGTCTATCAGGTTTGCTTGCTCCAGGTCTGAGTTCAAGCCCTGGATATCCTTGTTGATTTTTCTGTCTGGTTGATCTGTCTAATATTGACAGTGGAGTGTTAAAGTCTCCCACTACTATTGTGTGGGAGTCTAAGTCTCTTTGTAAGTTGTTAAGAACTTGCCTTATGTATCTGGGTGCTCCTGCATTGGGTCCATATATGTTTAGGATCGTTAGCTCTTGTTGTTGTATCGATCCTTTTACCATTATGTAATGGCCTTCTTTGTCTCTTTTGATCTTTGTTGCTTTAAAGTCTACTTTATCAGAGTTGAGAATTGCAACTCCTGCTTTTTTTTGCTGTCCATTTGCTTGGTAAATCTTCCTCCATCCCTTTATTTTGAGCCTTTGTGTATCCTTGCATGTGAGATGGGTTTCCTGGATACAGCACACTGATGGGTTTTAGCTTTTTATCCAATTTGCCAGTCTGTGTCTTTTGATTGGTGCATTTAGTCCATTTACATTTAGGGTTAATATTGTTATGTGTGAATTTGATACTGCCATTTTGATGCCAGCTGGCTGTTCTGCCCGTTAGTTGTTGTAGATTCTTCATTATGTTGATGTTCTTTAGTGTGATTTTGGAATGGCTGGTACTGGTTATTCCTTTCTATGTGTAGTGCCTCTTTCAGGAGCTCTTGTAAAGCAGGCCTGGTGGTGACAAAATCTCTGAGTACTTGCTTGTTCACAAAGGATTTTATTTTTCCCTCACTTCTGAAGCTCAGTTTGACTGGATATGAAATTCTGGGTTGAAAGTTCTTTTCTTTAAGGATGTTGAATATTGGCCCCCACTCTCTTCTGGCTTGTAGAGTTTCTGCCGAGAGATCTGCTGTGAGTCTGATGGGCTTCCCTTTGTGGGTGACCCGACCTTTCTCCCTGGCTGCCCTTAGTATTTTCTCCTTTATTTCAACCCTGTTGAATCTGACGATTATGTGCCTTGGGGTTGCTCTTCTTGCGGAATATCTTTGTGGTGTTCTCTGTATTTCCTGCAATTGAGTGTTGGCCTGTCTTGCTAGGTGGGGGAAATTTTCCTGGATAATGTCCTGAAGAGTATTTTTTAGCTTGGATTTATTCTCTTCGTCACATTCTGGTACGCCTATCAAACGTAGGTTAGGTCTCTTCACATAGTCCCACATTTCTTGGAGACTTTGTTCATTCCTTTTTGCGCTTTTTTCTCTGATCTTGGTTTCTCATTTTATTTCATTGAGTTGATCTTCAACTTCTGATATTCTTTCTTCTGCTTGGTCAATTCAGCTATTGAAACTTGTGCATGCTTCGTGAAGTTCTCGTATTGTGTTTTTCAGCTCTTTCAATTCATTCATATTCCTCTCTAAGGTATCCATTCTTGTTATCAATTCCTCAAATCTTTTTTCAAGGTTCTTAGTTTCTTTGCATTGATTTAAAACGTTCTTTTAGCTCACAAAAGTTTCTCATTATCCACCTTCTGAAGTCTAATTCCATCATTTCGTCACAGTCTTTCTCCATCCAGCTTTGTTCCCTTGCTGGTGAGGAGTTTTGGTCCTTTCTTGGTGGCGGGGTGTTCTGGTTTTGGGTGTTTTCCTCCTTTTTGCGCTGGTTTCTTCCCATCTTTGTGGATTTATCCAGCTGTCGTCTGTGTAGTTGCTGACTTTTCGATTGGGTCTCTGAGTGGACACCCAGATTGTTGATGATGAAGTATTTCTGTTACTTGGTTTTCCTTCTACCAGTCTAGCCCCTTCGCTGTACGACTGCTGAGGTCCACTCCAGGCCCTGCTTGTCTGGGGTGCACCTATAGCAGCTGCGGAACAGCAAGGGATGCTACCAGTTTCTTTTTCTGCTATCTTTGTCCCAGAATGTTGCCTGCCAAATGTCAGTCTTTTGGATAAAGAGGGGTCAGGGAGTTGCTTGAGGAGACAGTCTGTACTTTGTAGGAGCTCAAGTGCTGAGCTGTGAGCTCTGTTGTTCATTCAGGGCTGTTAGGCTGCTATGTTTAATTCTGCTGCAACATAGCTCATAAAAAAACCCTTTTTTTTCTCAGATGCTCTGTCTGGTGGGGAGTTGGGGCTTTCCTTGTGAGGTTCTGCCTCGCTGTCCTGCCCAGCTAGGAGGCAGTCTAGTCACTATTTGATTGCCGAGGCTCCGCCCTGCTGGTGTGAGGTTCGCCCTGTTGCTGCAGACTCTGCCCTTCTGCTTGGTCTCCGCCCTGTTGCCACGGGCTATGCCCTGCAGCGGAGTCTCTCTGTTGTACCGGGTTGCCTCGGCAACGGCAGGCTGCATCAGCAATGGGCGTGTACCTCAGTAGGGGCTGATTGCCTCGGTAATGGCAGACGCCCCTCCCCCACGGAGCTGTGCTTTAAGAAAACCTCCTCACCGGGAGCGTTTGGAATCGCCGTTTTGTTTGTCACACTGCGCTACCCCAAACGCTGTGTCCCTGGGATTTCCTGGGCTGGCTCACTGTCCAAGTCCCGTTCAGTCTCAAGTTCAGCCCTCTCAGGTCTCAATTTGCCAGTTCAACAGGGCACCCGTAACAGTGCGCTTTTGTATGGAGCGCTGTGGAGCGCCTCTGCGCTCCGGCGCGGGCCGCAGCCGCACCAGCTGCCGGCTACACCAGCCAAGACGTCTGCCTGGCGTCCCGCATCTCTTTTATACCTGGGAATTTCCCCGTTCTGTGGGCAACTAAGATCCGTCTGGAAATGCGTCCCTGACTCACCCTCTCCGCAAATCCAGCGAGAGCTTCAATCCTGGGTTGTTCTCACAGCACCATCTTGAGTCCTCCTCCGTACTTCTGACTTTCTTATGTAAAAGTAAAGATTTTTGATCTTCTTTATAGGGAGATATTAAAAAGCACACGTTTGTAAGATCAAGAACTATACACTATGAGCCAGAGCTTGTGTTGATTTTTTTCTAATAAAGATACTACATTCAGCTCTGTCAACTGCAGTTGAAGCCACCAGGTGGTTCAATTTAATATGTCACCATTGCTTCAGGTGGAAGTAGGTACCTCAAGGGCTAGGAGAGCTCCTCCAAGGACTGGCCTATCTCTCTCCCTGCTCTGAGCCCCTGCGTCCAGACCATTTTCCATCATTCGTTCACTCATCCATCCATTCATCTGTTCCTGCCACCAGCTCTACATGGCTGGCCCAGCATCAGAGGAGGGGTGGGGGAGACAGAGCTAGGTACAGACACTGCCAGCAGGCTGTGGTCAGGACCTGGTAGAATGAGTAACTGGGGAGGGGCACTTACCTGGGAGGAGAAAGGGAAGGCTCCTTGGAGGAGATGGTCTTTTTTTTTTTTTTGAGATGGAATCTCACTCTGTTACCCACGCTGGAGTGCAGTGGTGCAATCTCAGCTCACTTCAACCTCTGCCTCCTGGTTTTAAGTGATTCTCCTGTTTCAGCCTCCTGAGTAGCTGGGACTATAGGCACACACCACCACGCTCAGCTGATTTTTGTATTTTTTAGTAGAGATGGGGTTTCACCATATTGGCCAGGCTGATCTTGAACTCCTGACCTCATGATTTGCCCACCTCGGCCTCCCAGAGTGCTGGGATTACAGATGTGAGTCACTGCACCCAGCTGGAGGAGATGGTCTTAGACCTGAACCTTGCAAAGCTGTGCTCTGACCCACGAAGCCTCCCATGCATGGGTGAAATTTGGGAAAGGAAAATGTGGGATTGTGAAGGTCTTCAAATGCCAGTAAGGGAAGGTGTGAGACAGACCTGTATATCCGGAATATTGCATAGGGACTAGTGAGAGGGCTGGACTAGATGGGGAAGATTGAGGGTGGGGAGGTCTCAAAGGAGGATGAGCATGGTCCAGGCCGTAAAAAATGGGGCTCAAGTCCAGGCAACTGGGTGGAGCAGATACACAGGGAAAGTACAAAGGCAGGCTTGGGACATGTTCACTCCAAGGGGGCTGGACCTTGGGGGCATCTTATGGGCTAAAGACAAAGATGGCCTAGGAAGCATCAGTGTGTGGTGGGGAGTGGAGACACTGAAACTGGCAGAGAGGATGAAGTCTCCCCAGAACACAGTGGAGAACAAATCCTGAGACTGACCCCTGGGACAGAGGCAGGCAGAGAACACAGGCCACAGGGATAGAAGGTGAACTGGGTAAGGATGGTGTCCTCGCAATGGAAAAAGGAGAAGCATCAAGGAGCAGGGATGTAGTTCTTGATGTCAGAAGCTGCTGAGATGTAGGAAAGGACTGAGCCATGCAGACCCCAAAGTCATGAGGGAGGAAAGCTGAGAGTGGGGGCTGGGAACAGAGGGCTTAGCTGCTCTGAGTGAGGTTAAGCAGGGATGGGGAGGGAAGATGGAAACCCTGGCTGGGGAACTGGGGATGGATAAAATAAAAATGAAAAAAATTTATCACCATTAACCATCATGATCCATCCTGTATTTGCAGGAGTCATGTAGGTAAATTCAACAGGGATATGATGGAAACCAACACCTCTGCATCCTTTAAATACCTGACTTGCGCTTATTCCCGACATTCCTCTTGGGATAAGCTTCTAATTTACTATCTTGGCACTCTGGTGGCAGGAGGGCATTTTTCAGGGTCGTTTTCTAGCTATTCTTACCATAATAAGTTCTATACAATAGGGCAGGGCCTGTGAAAGTTTGGCCAGCTGTTAAGTGTGTCTATTCAAGCTTCACATCTGAGACCTGGGAATACAGCCACAGAACAGGTTATTTCTTGTTCTCAGGATTCTAGTTTGCAGAATTTTTGGATGCACAATGATATGGCTTGGCTGTGTCCCCACAGATGTGTTCTTGTCTTGAATTCCCATGTGTTGTGGGAGGGACCTGGTGGGAGGTAATTGAGTCATGGGGGCAGGTGTTTCCCATGCTGTTCTCCTGATAGTGAATAAGTCTCACAAGATCTGATGGTATTATAAGCGAGAATTTCCCTGCCCAATCTCTCTCTTTGCCTGTCCCCCTCCACATGGGATGTGACCTCCTCCTCCTTGCCTTCTGCCATGATTGTGAGGCCTCCCCAACCATGTAGAACTGTAAGTCATGAAACCTCTTTCTTGTGTAAATTGTCTAGTCTCAGATATGTCTTTATCAGCAGTTAAAATGGACTATTGCACACAGTCATGAGGACTAGGGCTGGAACTGCATTTATCACCTGGCCTCCGTAAGTCCGTCTTCTACTGAGCGGTCTATGATGGCATTTTGGGTTGGCTTGTTTTGGTGGCAGTTCAGACCCTGTTATGTAACAGTCCTCAAAATGCCTGGAAAATGCCTTTCCTCAGTGTACAGTTTTTTTAGTAAATGACTGCGAGAGCTTCTGGGGAATGACTGGGGGAGTGTTTATGGTACATACTTGAGCAGGTTTTAGATGGTTCTTTCTCAAGGAAACATATACTCCCCTTTAATCATGGGCTCTCACCTATGAACTGGCTGAAAACTTGATGAGAGACCACAATATGTTTCCATTTTGCAGCTGATGTCAGTCTTTTCTTCAGTTGTTTTGTGTTTTATTTTATAAGGTAAATAAGTAACATTCTGGCTGGGTACAGTGGCTCATGCCTGTAATCCCAGCACTTTGGGAGGCCAAGGTGGGAGGATCACAAAGTCAGGAGTTGAAGACCAGCCTGGCCAACATGGAGAAACCCCATCTCTACTAAAAATACAAAAATTAGCCAGGCATAGTGGCACATGCCTGTAATCCCAGCTACTCGGGAGGCTGAGGCAAAAGAACCACTTGAACCTGGGAGGCAGAGGCTGCAGTGAGCCGAGATTGCGCCACTGCACTCAAGCTTGGGCAATAGAAGGAAACTCTGTCTCAAAAAAAAATAATAAATAAGTAGCATCCTGATTGATGGGTACCCATCTCTCTTGTTCCTAGGAACAGCATGATCTCTTAACCATCACCACAGATGTTTGTAGGTTAAGCCACTCAGATCACCATTCCACCCTTGCTGTCTAATACCAGTGATGTCTGTGTTGCCTCTGTCAGTTAGGTGCCACTCCCTGACCTCTGCCATTCCAGAATCTTATTATGTCCATTGATACTAGAGGACCAGTGTCAAGGCTGCGTCTCTTCAACCATATGGAAGAAATGTGACATTGAGTCTCTCAAAGATCCCAGTGCAAACTTTCTGGATTGGTTCCTTATTGCTTTAGTGAAGCAAATACCTTTCAGGGATTCCTGGGAAATATAGTCAAGATAGTGGGTTTTCTGATCATATGTAATAAGTGTAATACATATATTTTAACATTTTCACTGCCACGAGCCTTATTATGCCTTCCTCAATACTCTGCCAAAGTGGTTCTGGCATCTCCACCTCATTTGCTGCAGGACATCAGCATGGCCAAAAGTCAAGAGCAGCAGATTAGAATGACTCTGGTGGGATGCAGTGGCTCACACCTGTCATTCCAGCACTTTGGGAGGCCGAGGCAGGAGGATTGCTTTTTTCAACAAAAAATAAGAAAGTAATTAGCCGAGTGTGGTGGTGCACTTCTGTGGTCCCAGCTACCTGAAAGGCTGAGGTGGGAGCGTTGCTTGAGCCCGGGAGATGGAGGTTGAAGCGAGAGCTGTGATCATACCTCTGCACTCCAGCCTTAATGACAGAGTGAGACCCTGCCTCAAAAACATACTAATTAAAAATAAGGAAAGGATGACTCCACATTTTTTTTCGGGAGGTTAACCCCCAAGTCACAAGAGAGTGCTCCAGTGTCCACAAGCTTTTCATTTTTTTTTTTTTTTTGAGATGGAGTCTTACTCTGTCACCCAGGCGGGAGTGCAGCAGTGCAATCTCAGCTAACTACAACCGCTGTCTCCCAGGTTCAAGAGATTCTCATGCCTCAGCCAGGTTTACAGGCACCTACCACCATGCCCAGCTAATTTTTGTTTTTCGTATTTTTAGTAGAGAGAATTTCACCAGGTTGACCAGGCTGGTCTCGAACTCCTAACCTCAAGTGATCCACCTGTGTCAGCCTCCCAAAGTGCTGGGATTACAGGTGTGAGCCACCACACCCAGCCACTATACAGATTTATATTTCATCCCCTCATCACTCTCCTGGTTTGATACCCTTGAGATTCACTCTCACACGTTTGTCCATCGTTGCTAATACTTCTTATTTTGGTTCTGTAATTGTTTTGACTGTGTAAGCTGTTTCAGACCCTTGCTATTCCTAAGGCAATGAAGGATGTGATGGCAGATCCTGGACAGAAGACAAGCATTGTCTTCCAGGACACCTGACTCAGATGAGGTTTCTGCAAAGCTTCCAGGGATTGGCGAAATTTTCGTCTGTAACAAGAAGGAGAGGACATCTTCTTCTGGCAGAAAATTCAGGGGAATTTGTGGGTTCCAGATACTGAGGTTTATCTACCCAAATGTCACCATGTCAGCTTTCAGGAAGTCACTTTTCCTCTCAGGGCCTCAGCTTTGGCATAGACTTTTTGAGGCTATGCATTCAGTCTGCTTCGCACTTTTGCTGCTCTTACCATTGAATCTTGGGCCTGGTTTTTCAGCACATATTCCCCTACAGCTACAGGAAATGAGGATCATTTTCTTTTCATTTTTCCCCCTTTTTTGGTTGATTTACTTTCCCCCCCACAAAGTACAACTCACATGCAGCAAAGTACACACATCTACGTCTTGAGTTGATATATGTTTATGACAAACTTATACGCCCTTATAGCTTACTGCTCAATCAATATGCAGACCATTTCCAGCATTTCAAAACGCTTCTTCATGCCTCTCCAAAATCAACATTCCCCCCACAACAGTATCACTGTTTTACTTCTTTCACCATAAATTCATTTTCCCTATCATTTAACCTTATCTAAATGGATTCATGGCTTGGGATCTTTTGCTCATCATTATGCCTGGGAGACACATGCATGTTTTTGTACAAAGCAGTAGTTCTTTTTTTTTTTTCCTTCTGAGACAGAGTCTCGCTCTGTCACCCAGATTGGAGAGCAGTGGCGTGATCTCAGCTCACTGCAACCTTCACCACCTGGGTTCAAGTGATTCCCCTGCGTCAGCCTCCTGAGTAGCTGGGATGACAGGTGCACACCACCACACCCAGCTAATTTTTGTATTTTTAGTAGAGACAGGGTTTCACCATGTGGACTAGGCTGGTCTTTAACTCCTGACTTAAAGTGATCCACCCACCTTGGTCTCCCAAAGTCCTGGGATTACAGGCATGAGCCACCATGCCTGGCCCAAAGCAGTAGTACTTGTTAATTGCTGTTTAGCATTACATGGTATATCACTATTTATTTATTCATTCTCCTACTGATGGACATTTGGGTTATTTTCAGTTTGTGCTATTATGATAAAACGACTATGAAAATTCCTTTTCTTTTTTGAGACAGGGTCTCACCCTGTCGCTTAGGCTAGAGTGTAGTGGCACAATCTTGGCTCATTGCAACCTGTGCCTCATGGGTTCAAGCAATTCTCTCACTTCAGCCTCCTGAGTAACTAAAACTACAGGTGCTCACCACTACACTCAGCTACTTTGTGTATTTTTTTTTTTTTTTTGAGATGGAGTTTCGCTATTGTTACCCAGACTGGAGTGCAATGGCATGATCTCAGCTCACCACAACCTCTGTCTCCTGGGTTCAAGCAATTCTCCTGCCTCAGCCTCCCGAGTAGCTGGGACTACAGGCATGCCACCACCATGCCCAGCTAATTTTTGTATTTTTAGTAGAGACGGGGTTTCACCTTGTTGACCAGGATGGTCTCCATCTCTTGACCTCGCGATCTACCCAACTCGGCCTTCCAAAGTGCTGGGATTATAGACATGAGCCACCGGGCCTACTTTTTGTATTTTTTAGTAGAGACAGGGTTTCACCATGTTGCCTAGGTTGGTGAAAATTCTGATATGCAACTTCTGGTGTATATAAATACTCATTTCTTTTGGGAGCATAATTTTCTAGGAGTAGAATTTGCTGAGTCATGCGCATATAATTTTAGATTAAAATGGCCAGTTTTCCAAAGTGGTTGTACTAACTTAAACTCCCCCTCCACAACATACAATGTTCCAGATGCTCCACATCATTGAGTACTTACTTCTTGTTGACAGTCTTTTGAATTCAAGTCATTCTCATGAGAGTGTAATAGCATCAAATTACAGTTTGAATGTGCATTTCCTTGATGAGTAATGACCTATTTGCCTTTTCCTATGCATTCGGCCATTTGTTTATCCTCCTTGTGAAAAGCATTTTGGGGACAGATTTTTTAAAATTGGGCTTTTTCTTAGAAAAATGTGGATTTTTAAATTTAGTGATCTATAAGAATTTTTTTATATTCTAGATCTAAGTATTGTGCTGATCTGTGTTCCAGGTTTTCGTCTTGCCTTTTAACTCTTCCGATAGTGTCTTTCGATGAACTTTTAATGAAAGTTCTTCATTTTAATGAAGTCCAATTTATCAGCCTTCTCTTATGGCTAGTGCCCTTTGTTCCATTTGCTCTCAGCAAGGTCATAAATAGGTTCTCCTGTGTTTTCTCCTAGAAGCTTGTTTTGCCATCTGCATTTATGTCCATGATCCATGTAGAATTAATTTGGCCGTATAGAGGAAGTAGAGGTCAAAGTTTGTTTTTTTTCATATGGTTCTCTAGCACCAATTATCAAAAAGACTGTCTTTATTTGGAAGTGTCTTTTTTTTTTTTGAGACAAAGTCTCACTCTGTCACCCAGGCTGAAGTATAGTGGCATGATCTCAGCTCACTGCAACTTCTGCCTCCCAGGTTCAAGCAATTCTCCTGCCTCAACTTCCTGAGTAGCTGTGATAACAGGCAAGCACGACCACATCTGGCTAATTTTTGTATTTTCAGTAAAGATGGCGTTTTGCCATGTTGGCCAGGAGGGTCTCGAACTCCTGACCTCAGGTGATCTGCCTGCCTTGGCCTCCCAAAGTGCTGGGATTACAGATGTGAACCACTGCACCAGACCTAGGAGTATTCACTGCCATGGAGGACTCTTTATTTCTCTAGTGGGCAGTGAGTTGTTAGCTACATGACGTGAGTATGTTGATTTCTTTTATCAAGACTTTA